CTCTCTCTCTCTCACTCACTCTCTCTCTCTCACTCACTCTCTCTCTCTTTTATTCTTTTAAATAATTCATTTATCATTATTATTATTATAATATTATAATATTATTTTATTTTATTTATTTGTTATATAAGAATATACTTTTAACATTTTAATGTTATTATCCTCTTTGTTATGTAATCTGATTTTATGAATATCATATTCAAATTCTAATTGCATTCCAACTTTTCATTCCTAATTTTCATTTAAAATCTTCATTTTAAAATTCATATCATTATAGTGAAGTGGTTAATTTAATTGAATAAGCTTGGGTAGTTTTATCATTTGAAAATTATGTCAAGTACATTTTAGCAAAATGTTGAGATTATGGTTTGAATTATTGGATCAAGCATCCTTAAATATTTAAATATTTTCTAGCAATAACTTATAAGGAAATGTAACTAAGTCAGGGATTTGCAATTCCTAACGCTCCTAGAACTTTAATTAAACAACGCCCTCGTATTCTGTAATTTTGTTCACTCGCTCGTCGTGTTGTCTCTTTGAATGTTGTACTTTGTACTGTTTTTTCCTTTTGTTTGGAATAAAATTTATGGTTAAAAAAAACTTTAATTAAACATAAATGTCTTTATGCAGTTATTGATCATTGGGTTGAAAAATAAATCTGGGATATCTACAAGAACCTAAGACTTGGAATATCACTATAGAAGTAAAGATATGACTCCAAAGACCTAGGATTTCTAAGTTATTGAATAATTACTACACCAGAGTAAGCCAAGTGTTATCTGACATAAGCAAATATGCATAAGAAATAGTAGTTAGAGCAGTTATTATAAAAAGCATATGAACTTAAATTTAATTAAAACGACATATTTACCCTTTTTCAAGCTTCTTTGTTGGCTTGATTCGATTTTTCTTTTGAGACTTCAGTTTTGAAGAGCATTTTGCAAGTTTGGCACTCGTCTAGATGTTAGAGAAGGAAAGTGGAGAGAGAAAGAGAAGAAGAAGAAAGACGAAAGAAAGTGATATCAATGCCCAAGCACTTCTTTCATAATCTTATATTTTTCATTCTAAAATATATTTCCCTTTACACATATATCCATTAATGAATGGAAAGCACCGCTCTAAACTTCTCATTTTTCTAAATATAAAATAAAACTAAACATAAAACTTCACTTGTAAGCTTTTATTGTAAGCACTCATGATACAAATGCATAGAATAATTTCTAAACTTTCCTTATTTTATATTGAACCCAACTTATAACAACATGAATCCAACCCACTTATATGCTCCAACTCTACATTTATGCTAAATGCAATTAAGAGAAAGATGAATTGAAGAAACTTAATACAATATTAATGCAAATTCTTTGTCTACCATTAATGAGTAATTCATTTTATATGTATGATTATAGAAATACAAGTTGGTTTACGCTATTAAGATGACAATCATGTTGCCAATAATTCAAAACCATTTTTTTATTTCTATTGAGTTTATAAATGAAGCTTTGATTTGTATTCAAGAATGTTTTTTCCACTCATAGAATGATTATATCGCAAAACTTCAATGCATGCAAAATCCTTTCAAGAACATATGACAACTCCTTTTTTTATTGCAAGAATTGAAAAAAATGAAGAGAAAAAGAAAAGGAGTGACCATAATTCATCACTATCAAATCTATATACAATATTATGGCACAAACTTCTTTTTATGCATATATTATTTCTATTAGCCACATATCCCATTATCAGGTGCCTTGCCATCCTCCATATTGTTATACCTTATCCACTTTACTTTTCATGTTCAATATAGTAAACAAATGTATGGTACACATTGCAAGCTTCTTTTTTTTTTTCATACAATTTGCTAACCTAAGAAACTATATCCTCTACCACTTCAACAATCACAAACTCCTAGGTTCGACTAATCATATATCCCATCAAGAATACCATTGCCCTACCATCCTTAACACCATTATCGATTCGCCCTCTCCCTTTTTTAATGTGTGAGTGGCAAAGACAAGTTCAGTATACTTCACTAGCATTTATCCAATACAAATTTCTCATCAATTTTTACAGCTCTCATGGAGTACAAGACAACTTAGTGACTAACATGGTAAAAAAATTACCTAAAGAAAGATTTAATCATTAGCTTATGAACACTAAGAGGTCAAACAATTAAATCAAATAAAAGATTGTTTTGAAACACAAATATCATTCACGAAACATTATATCTGACTGATAGTAAATGTTCCCAGTCAGTATAATAAAAAAAAATGATGATTCATAAGCATAGCCCAAATAGTTTTTTTTAGAAAACCCACCATCGGGCCTACGTGTTAATTTAAAATAAGGTTACAAGTCCTAAGTAGAGATCTGCAGCTCGCTACACACCATGGAGCTACATGCCAAAAAGAGAGAAAATAACCTAAAGAGTCGAAGATACCGCCTAATTACAAAATTGATCGAATACGAAAAAACCTAGAACTAGGGATGCTAGGATCCATCACCTAAAAAGAGATATCTTGAAGAGCATTAGCCATGAATAGTACCGATCTCTGCAAAAAAGAAAAATAAATTGCACAAAGACAAAGCAAGAGAAACCACAAATAGCAAAAAACCCAACCAGCAGGGAGAGAGACATAACCCAGATGAAATTGTACAAACACACAACACCAATTAAAAAACAATAGTGAAGCACAAACCAATTGAGGACCGAATAGTAAACACCAAATCAAACATAACCCATAAAGAAGACAAAAACAGACACAAAGATTAAACTCCCACACAAGAAAACCCAACAGATAACAGCCAAACGCTAAAGAAACTGGCGAGGGCAGCAGTAATGGACTAGGAAGAAACATTGAACAACACACCACCACGACCAGACAATAATCTTCCTATATAGAAGACAACCCAACAAATAAGAAAATAGAACCGAAAATAAAACAGAACAAAAGACAATACTAAATAGAACAGGTAAGGAAAATGACAATTAGACATAAGGCATTCTGTTGCTCAAAGTTATTTGCACCAACCACATGGCCACATCAAGAATCAGATAAGAGAAACCAAAGCCCAAGATTAACCTACCATCAGAATCCCTTATCAAACCACCAATCCCACATTGATTCTCATAGATAGCAGCATGAATATTAATCTTAACCTCTCCCACATCAGGTTTATGCAATAAAATAATCTTGGGTGGGATAGTCATAAAAGAATTATCATTGCTATTGTTTAAAAAAGAAAGTCATTGTTTTTTATTATAAAAAAGTTTAGGCAAAAGGACCCGAGGAACAAACAAGTGATGGATCTTAAAAGTGAATAATGTTATAATTCTTTTGTAGCACATCTTAGTCCCAACATGCATGATATTATTCCTCCCATCCCATAAAAACCATAAAATAGTTAAAGTAATGACCAACATCTAGTGCTCAAAGTTATTAGAATGAATCATGACATTTAAAAATGATAAAACACTAGTAGCATCTAAATCGATGTAAATGCTTAAACTATTCTGAATAGTTATCCAAACTTTGATAGCCACCTGACCATGAATGAAAACATGGTTAATTTTTTTAGGCTATAACAACATTGGCATTTGGGAGCTAAAATAATACCTTTCTTTCGGAGCCTAACGTCAATCAGAACAAAACCCTTCAAAATTCTCCAAGCTAATAAAGAGTAGTTGAGAGCTATATCAGCCTTCCAAATTTTAGCAAAAATAGAAATGGGATATTTTTATTTCTAAAATAATGCCACACTTTCCTTAAACTAAACGTGTCATTATCAGACAACTTGAACAAAATTTGATCTTTACTATATGGATTAATGGGATTATCACAAATGAGATTAACAAAACTTTGAGGGATAACCTCAAGAAGACATTTTGTGGACTAATTCCCTTCAACTATAAAATTTGAGACTTTGAAGGAGGAGGTAGAAAAAGAGTTGAGGTGGAAGTCAATAGAGCCCACACCTAACCACTCTTCCTGCCAAAAATAGGAAAACCCATTTCTAATTCTCCATTGAATAGTATGTTCAGACACCCATTCAATATTACAAAACCTTTTTCACCTTGAGGATTTACCTTGCTTACAAAAACACAAAGTAGGATGCACATTCTTACAATATTTCTTATGCAT